TTAGGGAGTGATTTTGTGCAACTGTAGGCACAAATAAAGGAGGTTATGTGCATTATTGTGCAATTTACCCTTATTAATAACTAACAAAACTCATATACAAAGTACATAAAATTTCAAATTCAGAAAATGGAACTATGTTACAGCACAAAACTAGTATCATTCTTCAAAATTCAGGTCAATTATAAGGAATAGGTCCTCTCTTTTTACACATTGTTACTAGCGTGCAAGCTTAGTGCGAAGAGTCAGATCAAGACAGAATTGAAGATAATACATGCATCTAAATAAATCAGATTTAAAATTTTCCAGCAAGTAAAAGGCAATATAGTCAATAATATTGACACATTCTGCACATTAATGCTTCGAAGGGTAAGCCATAATCTAGTCACCTAGGAACAAAGTGCTAGTACGAGGGAAAAACATCAGTGAGAGATGACATTAAGCAACAAACTAATTCAATGAAAGAAAAGCCATTTTCTGTAAGCTAAAATTACATTTGCATGATGAAATCTGATTTTTGCTACTTCAATATGATAGGATTGAGCCTATATCTCTAATATTGTTTTGATGATTTACAAACAATCTCTAACATTATTTTTCTAGTATTTGTATTTATTCATTAGATATTCTAGACGAACATCGTAGTTGGAGGTTGGATGGAGAATTGCGCTTTAACGATAATATCAAAAGGAGGTTGGCGGAATATCAAAGTGAAGCCATTTATGAATTCAAGTCAAATTCAAGTTCAAACGTCATTCATGTTTATCAAGACGAGCCTAATGAAGATCATCAATCTTGTGTATAATTAGTTTAGGGTTTATACTTGTGTGTTAAGTATTTAAAGCTCAAATATCACACATATACACATTTTTTGTTTTTGAGTGATTTTGACAAAATATTGGGTTATTACTTTATAGACTTAAAAACCACGTTATACATATTTTATTAAGTCCATAAAACCATTTGAAAAGGGTTCAAAACTTCGTTTAACTCAAAAGTAAAAAATCAAGTGTTTTATATACACGCGTATTTATAAGTTTTGCAAAATGATGAGATTTCACAATTGGGAAATAAAAATTAAAATTTTTTTGTAACATGTTTATTTTCATGTTTGTAAATATTTTCCAAAGTTTTACATTTTTAGATATTTTTTGCTATTTTTAAAGGCACTCAAAAACTCATTTTCAAACATGCACAGTGTCTGTGCACGTTCATGAGTCGACTCATGAACAGTAGTAAGTCGACTCATGAACTGCTTTGGAATTTGTAAAAAAATTCTGCTGAGTTGACTCATGTAAGTCGACTCATATAAGTTGAATCTTGATTCCCATTAGTCGACTCGTGTAAGTTAACTTATGAAGTGTTGCACAGTTATGTATTTTTGACCAGTTTACAAAATAAGTTATTTCTCACAAATTAGAAGTGATATTTTAGAAACTCTTTCTCTAACATGTTCACTACATGTTTATAAACTTTCCTAAAAATTTCATGATTTTTGGAGTTGATTTAATATGTTAAATTGATTTTACTAACGCAGGTGTTTCAACAGTTTTCGGTATCTAAAATATCTATGTTCAAACAATTATTTCTCACAAATGAGAAGAGATATTTCAAAAATTCTTTCTCTAACATGTTTATATACATGTTTAAAAACTTCCCTCAACATTTTATAATGTTTGGAATTGGTTTACTATTTTTAATTGATTTTACAAAACTAGATACATAAAATTCCAGAATCTGTCGTTACTGTTCCAACGACTCTCTATAAGTCCACTCACTCTCTCTATAAGTCGACTTATCAGTACTTTATCATCCATAAAGGCTAGTTTTGCTTCTTTTTTTTCTTTTTTTTTCTTTTTTTTTTGGGGGGGGGGGGGGGGGGGGGTTTTTTTTTTTTTTTTTTGTTTTTGGCTGGTTTAAGATGCTATAAAAAGCCCTCAACTCTCATTCATTGTTTAGGGATATTTAAGAGAGTTTCTAAACAAGTTTAAAGGGTGTTTAAGTTTTGTTTAAGTGTGTTTAAAGTTTGGTTTTTAAGTGAAGAATGTTTCACAAGAGGAGAAGATCATTCTTTGGTGTTTGGGCTTTAATTTCTCTTCTCTCTCTCTCTCTCTCTCTCTCTCTCTCTCTCTCTCTCTCTCTCTCTCTCTCTCGTCATCTTAGAGAAGTTTTCTAAACTCAATTCTAGTTTTGCATTTATTATTGATTATCATTTTTATTAAGCTAGATTTATATTAAGTTTACGTTTGACTTTATTTATACTCTTTGTTTATACACACAACCATTGAGCTTATAGTATTTTTATACGTTGTATAATTTGGGTTGTGGGGAGTGTGACTTAGAGAGTGAGCTTACGTTATATTCTTATCTATTGTAGAGAACAAATTTGTATTTGAGCATTCATTGTGAAATTCACTTTGTATTACACAAGTACACCGAGAGGAGTGTGTGGTGAGGACATGGTCGATACAAAGAGGAATGACGTCGATAGTAAATCCTAGGGAGATGTAGTATAGCCGAGCACTTGAGGGAGGCGACACATGAGGACCAACACTTAAGGTGGGAGTTTGTGTAGTTACATTGTGAGTGATTGTAAGAGTTTTCGGTGAGCTAAAAAATCGATATCGTGAGGTGTAAACGTTTTGGGTGAACGTCGAAAACCCATTGTGATAGTGGATTCTCCCCGGGAGTGGGGAGCGGAGACGTATGTCGGAAGGACCGAACCCCGTGATCATATTACTTGTTTGAGTTTGCATTGGCGTACATATTTTTCATGTTCATTTTATATCGTCATTGTCTCATTGTTTATTTCATCCACTATATTGTTTGCATTTGTTTGTATATCATTGCATATATCTCATTACTAGGATATTGTATTAGGAAATTTTAATTTGGCATTAAATCATTTTAGATTAGCACATTACCCTATTCACTCCCCTAGGGTACTCTCAATAGTTAGGTGAGATCTTAATGAAGAATACCAAGAGTGGATACATATCATTGTAACCCAATTAATAATTAGAGGCCAACACGGCACATGTGACCAGTCCCACAATACAGCGACCATCACAGGGCTAATACATATGTAAGGAATTCTGCAAAGCACTCAGAATAATATCGGAGATATCATGCATGTATACATACAATCAGTATTATTAGGTATGTAACATACATACATGTTACCTGAGTCTATGCCCTCGTGTTTCATGAGTGTTTGATCGATTAGACATCAGCCCCACACGTACGTGCCAACCTAGTAATTAATTATAAATGCTCACCAACTTTCAGCCATAATCATTAATTAACTAATTGGGTCCTGGAGATCAAATCATTGAGATGTAGTCTACAGTTATAAATAGCCAAGGAGAGCACATGCAGTCGTCGCATGGCACAGATCAATTAATTAAGCCAACTAGCTAGTTAATTAAGCAAAACGAAGAGGGATGCAGCAGCAATATTATTAATTTTAGTGCATTTCCCGCTTGCATCCACATCGATGGGTACCTTCTAGGTTCTCCATACATATAGAGGTAACGGAGCACAAGTATATCACAGCAGGTTACAGTTACAGATAACAAAATAATTTTAACTCCCAGATTCTTCATAGGTAAACCATCCTTAAATTAACAAATTAGTTTAATTCTCGAGTTTTTCATAGGTAAACCTTCCTCAAATTCTAGTTTGTCATTACTACTTCTAGATTCAAAAAACACAACCCTTATATGTCATTGCGTCTACATATTATCGCTTGAGTACACTTTCTTCAAATTTCTCCATTAATAAAAAGGGGTTTTAAGGGAAACTTTCCTTAAATCAAGCCACATTAATTTTATATTACCATCCTTAATCATCTGAGTTTTAAAATCCTCACTCTGTCGACATGCTACCACAATTTTATTTTAAAAAGTATTATATATTTAACGTATTTACCTATGCATCTCTTGTACACGTGTCTTGTGCTTGTGTTTATCTCCACAGAGAAAAGGAGCCAAGAAAGCCCTAAAAGAGTTTAGTGAGATGTAATTAAGAGCCAGTGGAGAGAAATTAACTAAAGGGGTATAGTCTTTGTAGGACAAAATTATTAGATTGATATATTTTGTTGGCCCTAAATAATAGATTGATTTATGTTCTTACTCCGCCGATGATATGATATATATACTTTATGGACCATGGAGATAAATACTCATATTTTTTGCTGGAGCTAAAATTCCGACCAAATAGGTTACGTGAGGCGTCTTGCGTGTTCAATGTGGCTGCCAACGTGGATGATACTAAAACTATTAATTAAAATGAGCTGAAAAGGGATTTTTGCTCAAATTAGGGTTAAAAAATGAGTGTCACGTGCATCCGTCCGACGTGGCTGCCAATATAGATGGTACATAGCTGGGATCATTAAAATGAGTTGAAATGGGATCTTTGGTAAAATTAGAGCAAGAAAAGTGAGGGTTCAAATTACTCTAATCAAATTAACCCTAGGAGGAAGACCACCCTCAATTTTAACCCTAATTTTTTTAACCCTAATTTGAGCGGAAATCCCTTTTCAACTCATTTCAATGATCTCAATACCATCCACGTTGGCAACCGCGTCGAATGGACATGACACCTCATGTGATCCTATTAGCTAGAATTTTGGCTCCAACAAGAAATTAAAAAGGGGTACTTATCGCCATGATCCATAAAATATATGATATCATCACCGTAGTAAACAAATACACCAATATGTCACCTAGGGTCAACAAAATATATGGATATGACAGTTTTGCCGTCTATATATATACTTTTATATAATGCAAATACATTAACTAAAATCCTCTCAGCTCGTTAGGTGAGCCAGCTACCTAAAAAGTATAAATGTCTTTGTTTTGGACATCAAGCGTTCATCAACTACTCATGTACAGCCTTAGTAAATACCAACCAACTCCCAACCATTATCTTTAAGTATGTGGGTCACGCGCATCTAGATCTCTTCTTCCCCGTCTATAAAATGGAGGGCAAAAGGATTAATATTCACGCACATCAAATTATAGAAACATTAATTAATTAATTAATTAATTAATGGCAAATATGACTCCCCCTTCTCTCCTGATCCTCATCTTAGGGTTTGCCATCACAACACAATATTGCTCGGCGGATTACGTCCTCGTCTCCCCCCAGGCGCTCGACAGCGGCGACTCCCTAAACTACGGCCCCTACAGGTTCACAATGCAGAGCGACTGCAACTTGGTTTTGTACGAGTCTGGAAAGGCCATTTGGGCGAGCAACACCTACAGGAAAGAGTCCACATGCTATTGCAAGATGCAGAGCGACGGCAACCTCGTTGTCTACGACCAGAACCGGAACGTGGTGTGGTACAGCGATAGCTGGATGGGCGACGGCGGCCATTACGTGCTCGTTCTGCAGGAAGATGGCAACGTGGTGGTCTACGGAACGGCGCGTTGGTCCAGTCATACGTATAGAGTTGCTGTT